TTGGGACGCGAACAAGCACATATAGACGATTGGCTGGCTATGGAGCCGCTGATTGCCTATGTGAAACACCCGGTAACGGGTGTGTGCAATGGTCCGGTCTTTTCTGCCCATGCGTGCCCGCTAGGGGGCGCGCAAGCAGGAAAAAATGCCGTCTGGCGACAGCAACCCGCCAATGCAGCAGTGCTGTCCGTCCGTTTTTTTTTACTACGGTCGGACGGCAAGAGGTTAAAGGAGAACTATGGGGTCAGTGTTTTCCCCATAGTTCTCAGGGTAACGGGAGGACACAAACTAGCGTACTCCCGTTACCCTAAGCTCAGTATACCGCGAGCTATAGCTCGCGGTATACTGAGATGCCGCAGCGGATACCGATGTAGATGACGGGATCCGCCCAGCTGCGTGAGTGACAGAGGCTCTGCCTCTAGATAGGCAGAGCCAGCTGTACCCGCCCCATCCGTTCTGCCAGTCAGCGATGGGAGAGGGGAATCCAGCCCCTCCCCGTCACGGCAGAGAGCTGTGACAGGCTTGAGAGGTGAGCAAACCTGGTATGTGTTCGCTCACCTCCCGATCTACTGAGCCGACCTGTGACAGTCTCATTGTCACAGGTCGGCTAGAACTATGAGGTGAGTGGAAATCACTCATCTCATAGTTCTCTAAGATTTGACAGGGTGCTGGCCTGAAAACCCGTAGCTACAAAATCAGGTCAACAGTGACCGTTCCTGATTTGTGGTCTGTCTAAAGATATCGCCAGTCTGCTTAGAAAAGCGACCTAGTTTTTGGTTTGTCCTGCCTGGCTTTTAGATCTAAATGCATGATTGGGGCACATGCTATGCGGGGGTTGTATTGTAGGTAGGTGACAGCTATATTCCTATGTGATCCTCAGTACTAATCTCATCTCTAATTCCTTTCCTTCTAGATTGTAAATGTAAAACCCTTGCATTGGGGAAGTGTGATGCAGCAGATGGTAATGCACAGGACTGCAAGTGTGTCCTCCAAATAGGTACAGATGAGAGGCCGGTGAACTGCACCAAATGTGAGTATTCTGGGGAAAATCCCCAAATTGTTTTTTTTCTCTCTGGTCCTTAGTTTATACCAAAAATATATATCCCACAGTCATCTTGCATTCTAAGGGACAACCATATCATCATCTAAAAGTCGGTGGGGCTTTACCTAATATGTTGTGGAACGTAAGTGGTCACTGAATATTTTATTTAAAGACAAACAGGTTTCCAAATGGTTCCAAACAAAATGCATAGAGCAGCCAATCTGGGAACCACTAAAACTGAATGTAGACCCCCAACTGGGACCCAGCAAAAGCCGACTATCCCTGGCCTAAATTGGCATGTAGATATTAGTAGGTTTTGGAGATGTTGGTTTATCACAACCTCCGAATTGCCCAGATAAATACCTGGAATGTTTGATTCCAATTTGGACCCCCCTTTAGATTGTCAGCCTTATGTGTTCTGACACTTTTCTTGCATTTTCTAGTAATACCCAAATGCTGGCTAATGAAGAGAGAGAGCGTTGGAACCAAAGCTGGAAGAAGACCGAGGCCTCAAAATGCTCTAGTTGACAACGATGGGCTGTATAATCCTGACTGCGAGGCCAATGGAGCATTTAAAGCAAGACAGTGCAACAACACTGATACATGCTGGTGTGTCAACTCCGCTGGAGTCCGAAGAACAGATAAAGGAGACAAAAACAAGAAGTGTGCAGAGCTGGTTAGAACCTTGTAAGTATTGGCTGTTCAGAGCCAGTGTCTAGAGGTGGGGGTTACATGTCATATGTTTGTTAAATCCATCCATAACCAGTAGCTAAGTGACACTAAATTCATTAGTTCAATCTGAAAAATAGTCTGAAAATACATTCAGGTATCTGAACTATTAACAATACTGTAGCTGTGTCACTCGGCTGTAAGTCCTCAAATCATCTCCGAAATGGTGCTGACACTGTCCTTCCTTCTGGAGGGTGGCTACTTTTTGTTCCCCATATTCCCTGTTGTAAAGTAGCCACTGCTCCAAGCTCACTCCTGTGATGGGACTATAATCTTGCGTTTAGGTTTAAACATTTTGCATTGAGATTTGTAGTCATCACAGGAGTGAGCTTGGCGTGTTGGCTACTTTACAACACACGGGGACTATGGGGAACAAAAGTAGCCACCCTCTGGAAGGACACTGTCGGCACCAATGCAGAGATTTGAGGAATGTAAACGTGTTTCTTTTTACCAGTTAAGGTACTTGACTGCAGTCTTAGGCTTTAACTCCAAAGTTTAGTGTCACTTTACATCAATCTTGGGGGACAAATGTCGACTATGTTTAAAAGGGTCCATCTACTGTGACTGTCCCAAATCCTTCACTCTTCCTTACCCTTAAGGCTGGGTTCATACCATTTTTCTGGAACATAGTGCATTGCGTTTTGCCGTGATTTGAAATAATTTTTTAGCTTAAAATGGTATTACAGGTGCATTCCATACCAAATGGGACAAGCAGTATTTTTCTGATGGGAACAGAGGCCAGAGATAGCATAGGGATACATTTTGTGTCTGGAAAGTCTGGTCTGTAGGTAATCTGGATGTGAATGGGCCCTCAATGTCTCTGCTTTCTCATCCGCCTTTGACTCGGAGCCTGTAGTCTTGGAAGTGGCATCTCCTAATCTGCATGCATGTACTAGGTCAGGGATTTATTAAGCACTGAACCGTGTGGATGAGTAACACAAATGCAATGGTAACACCTATATTGTAGAAGGGTGCGGGTTATTTAGATTGGCTTTCAGAGATTTTTCTTTGTCAATTCTTTTAAATGGTGAGAAATGTTTGACTGTAGGTTAAGGTTGTCTATCCCTGGCCTGTTCAATTGTAGGGTCTGATTTCCCAGTACAAGGCCATGCCCCAATTCGCATCCTTGTGCTCTGATAAGAGAAGTCCTGGGTATGTAATTCATGCTTTTATATGCTTGGTCACCACCGAGGGGGATGGGGGGTTGGGATGTAATGCTTCCCTAGTTGCAATCCATTCTTTGGGAATGCCGGCTCACTGAATGGATTTTGTGTTTCACTGGGGTGTATGCTTTTAATTTTGAAAGTGATTTTAAACTTAATTTCTTTTTACAGCTGGGTGATCGTTGAGATGAAACGAGAAGACACTGATAATACACAGAATGGTGCAATTGAGACGTAAGTTCTGCAGATATAAAATATATATTTAAATTGTATTTCCTCAGAAGTAACGAGCCTTACAGATCTTTTTCTGCTTTAACAGGGCTCTGCGAAGCCTGATTACAAACAGGTACAACCTGCCTCCAAAGTACATTGAAAAAGTTGAGGTAAGCTGCTTTCCTTTGGGTAACTGCCTTGTATCCTATAGGATTCTCCCTTGTGACTGTCCCAACCCCCTCCACCAATGTGGGATGCTTTTGTTTGCTTCCAGATTCCATAGATCATATTGTAGTGAACATTTTATGGGCCAATTCATGCTAACATTTTGTAGTAATGCATGTGTTTGTGCATTGGGATGCTATTCAGAATGAATGGCACCTCAGACATGTGGCATGCATTGCACTGGAGTGTGCTAGACATTTATGGAGTGTTGGGCAGCCCATTAAAATGGGTTTGACTAACGTTCTCCCAGTCAGACACTGTCATGTTGGGGTGCCATTCAGAATGAACAGTACAGAACTCTCACCCAAAATGCATGTGCATTACTGTACAATACATGGCATCAAACATGCACTGCTCCACTGCCAAGTGCTGCATTGTTTTTTTGGTGCATTAGCCAGTCAAATCAAATTGGTTGCCTGAATGCAAAAAATGGGGGCTCAATGTGTGGTAAAACAGCAACCATGTGGATCAACCCTGAGCTATCAAATGAGATTCAGTTATTTGCAAACTCTTTTTAATTGTCTGTAGATAGCAGTTTCAAGATGGCAGTTTCAAGCTACTAATTCTATGAAGCAGTTTGCTGTGGGTTATTTTCCAGAACCTCACTGCTGCAGTGAATGTAAAGAGTTTAGGGCTTCACACTAAATGCAGACCAGATCTGCATGAGTTTCTACACGCGCAGTGTTTTGCTTCGTTTTTTACACGTTCAGGTCCATTTTTGCAAAAACACTTTTTTAAAAGTTTAAAATGGGCTTCCAGTGCGTTTGCATGCGTTCCAGAGCAGGTAAAATAGGGCTTGCTGCAGTTCTTCTACATGCTATGGAACTGAATGCTGCAGTGTGAACTAGAGCCCAAAATACCATTGGAATACATTGGAGTTTTGATCTGGTCTAACTGCTCTGCTCCTGGAACACGCTTGGTGTGAACAAGCTTTTAAGCCTTTAAGCCTGACCATGCTTCACCTAATTGGCGCATTTAATCCGCGTGTGTGTTCTCACATGTTAATGCTCAAATATATATTGATGGGTGAAGTTGGTATTGCTATTCTAATGCAAATGTTTTCTTTACAGTTTGTAGAAAACTCCATCTTTGTAGATCTAAAACAAAATTCTTCAGTGAAAGTTCTTGATGATGTGGACATTGCTGATGTTGGCTACTACTTGGAAAAAGATGTAAGTATAGGTCTTGGGTAAGATATATTTAAGATGGCTACTGGAAGTAAAGCGGGAATATAAAAGTCCCATTGAGTTCACTCACGGTAATCCTATATATGCTACAGTTTTTTGTTCTGTAAAAGTCCAGCAGCAAGATTTAAAATACTGTGTTCTATTAGCACCTTGGAGAACAGGTCTACTACACCCACAAGCAGTGGCCCTTGTCTCCTGTGGTCTGACACTTCCATTGCCTCTCCAATGACCAGCTCTGCTCAAAGTGCCAGACCACTACTTGCAAGTGAGCAGCAGTGTAACTCCAAGGCAGTGATGTGCTGTACCTTCCATAATGGGTGAGACAAGCCCAAACCCAGTCACCCAAGCTAGTGTGAAGGTGGTAAGGGATCAGGAGGAGCCTCCCTGGCCCTCACTTGGTCATCACTAGTGAGGCATTGAGATCAATGTCAAAGTGGTTTTTTAATTGGGACAGCTTGTACAAATGGTGCTTTGCTATTGGTCCAAACCATCCAGAGCTCAAGCCTCTTGCATAGTGAGGCAAGAGCTGTAACAGCCTCTACTCTGAAGGTTATACAAGTGGTGGGGAAGCCTGCTGCTGTGTAACCTAACTTAGCTGTCAAAAGCCAGATGCAGCACAGGTTACAGTGTGGGGTTGAATTGGGTTATGAAGGGCACGATTTCTTGGCAACTGTTGCTTTGGCTTTTTGCCAAAAGTTTGTTCATTGCAATATAGAATATAACCTGGTACTAAGGTTTTGTTTTTTCTCATTGTAGATCAAAGGAGATCCTATCATGCATGCAGATGAGAAATTTGAATTCCTTGTCAATGGCAAAAACTTTGTTGTGAAAGAGCCTCTTATCCTCTACGTTGATGAGAAGCCCCATGAAATCAGCATGAAGCATCTGACCCCGGGTGTGATTGCTGTCATTGTGGTTGTGATCGTGGCAATTATTGCAGGAATAGTAGTCTTGGTAAGTATATTTGAAATTTGTTAAAACTGATAGCATGTCCTTGACAGCTGGAGTTTGGGGTGTGGACCATTTTAAATTTGGTTCCAGCTGGAAAAATAAACTTTCAAAACTGTTAAAAAAAAAAGCTGCAGTTTCCTTAGAATTGGCCAGCTTAGCCATTGAGACTTGCCTTCTGTATGTGTCTTTTGCAAATTTGTTTCCAAAGCCTAGCTGGAATCTTCTAACTAGTACAGCAAACTCAATGGGGCTGTTAACATCCAATCTAGAGTTTAAAAAAAATAACTACTTGTAAAACCGCTTCAGGAAAATTTTAAATTATGCCTTCTGCAATTTAGCCTCAATTTTGTACAGCAGTACTCGGACTGGGAGGGCCAGGAGCCTATGCAACTTGCACATGAAGAGAAGTAGGATGTGCTTCTGCACAATCAGCAAGGGGTGTTTGTATTTCCCATTTCTGCACTGCCTGGGGGGAATTTATCAAATCTGGAGCAGTTGCCGCTTGGCAACCAATCAGCTGCTACTCCAGTTCAGATTTGAAAATGAGAAGCTGATTGGTTGTCATGCACATCTGCTCCAGATTTGGTGAATTCCCCTCGTGTCTAAGAAAAACATGTAAAGTAAAGATGCCCATACACTGTACGATTCTTGTACGAGAATCACAGGAAATCCTGCAATCGTACGAGAATCGTACAGTGTATGGAAGGCGTGCGACCGTTTCTACTGTACGGTCACACGTCTTTCGTCGAACAAGCAGGCTTGAAAACCCACTGAGAATCGTACGATTCTCGGCGGGTTAGTGGCCTGCTTGTTCGACAACTGCCAAACGGGCCGGTGTGAGCACGTGCACACTGCCCATTTGCAGTGATCGGAAGCCCACCCCTCAGCGGGGCGGCCTTTCCACGATCGCAAGTACGATCTGCCCCTCCAAGATGGGCAGATCGTACGAGTTTTCAATGAGTTTACGACCATCGCAAGACAAAGTCTTGCGATGGTTGTAAGGTGTATGGGCATCTTAAACATGTGGAGAAAGATGGGCTGCCATCTCTGGCCTACTGAGAGTTTTAGTAGTTGGGCTACCATGGCTGACCAATTGGTCTAATCCTGGTCCACATTTTAATTCTGCATGAGTCTTAAGTCAAGCATAACACTAGTACCCCCATCTTTTAAGGAATCTAAAAATATCTGGGGATGGGTTTTCCAAGAATTGGGAAAAGGAAACTTTTTACCTCAATCATTCAATCTCTGCACTCCAAGAGGGCCTGACAAAATGGTTGTAGAGGGCTGCAAGCAGCAATCACATCACTTGTACGGTGTTCAGTTTTCCTTTTTCTTTGCCAGTGCTATGTCATGTGCTACCACAGCATTTCTAAGTGGGAATGGGCTTCCCAGGCAGTCTAGCCAGATCAAATTGGACATGGCACCACATGTCGCCATGTCTTTAGGTACTAACTCTAGCAGCCTGAACAAACTTTTTGGTTACCTGTGTCAAGATTTGTGGTTTTGTCAATGCATTGAGCAAAATAAGTTAAACACTTTGTAAACCCATCTCTAAATCACTTTCCTTTCTCAGGTTCTGACAAGGCGAAAGAGAGGCCGCTATGAAAAGGCTGAAGTAAGTATCAACTTTTGTAGAAAACAGAAAGCTTTTGTGTATGGGTAGAACTGATTTCCTCCATATGGATTTGATGGGTAAAAGAACCTAAACATGGTTAAATGTGGAAGCGGACATGTGTTTCAAGGTGTATCTGTAGACTTGTTATCCATGCCCTTGATTCACTAACTTGAGACTGGCCTTAACATTCATGCCTATTGGGCATCCTGACATTTCACAGGGCTCATTGATAATTTGAGTTAAATGATGCATCCTCAGAGGAGGCATGTTCAATCTTCTGACTGCCTATGGCCAACTGCACTATTTCCGTCTAGCTTTAAGCATAACTGAGCTCTACAGTGGCCAAGCTTGAGTCCTATAATGCAGTTTGGAAAGAATGGCTCCATAGTATGTCATGATTCTGGATGCATTTGGCTCGGGGTAAAAGTTCATGTGGAATAAATATTTGTGATAAATGCATCCTATAGCTACCTTCTGTTTAGGTTTTCCCCTGATTTGCTTTAGTTCATTGGAGGGCCTTTTTGGTTTTATTTTTTACCCACACTATAAACTCTCTACTTCCCCATAAAATCTGCAGTTGTCACTCCATGGTAGCAGTCCTAATATCTGCTTTCTTTTTCAGATGAAGGAGATGAATGAAATGCAAAAAGAACTCAACTCGTAGATCTGAAGCGTAAACTGGATAAAATCTTTCAGGGGGCCATGTGACTGATGTGCTGAACATTTGCATGCTGGGTTGATTCAATTATGCTGCTTATTGGATTTTCAACATCTCCAATATAGAGCTTTATAGAATATTTATACCAGGAGACTCCATCTTGCACCTGTCTGACTGTTTTTGTCATTTTTGTTGTCTGTGAGCCTGTGAAATATGGGTTTGTGTTTTAGATAGAAGCTGTAGGACAGAGTCCTTTAAATAATGCTACAAGATTGATCTTCAAGCAACTGGATGAGATGTTCCAAAGAACTTTTTGTAAAGGGGGTTGGAGGGTGGGGAATGTTTAAAATAAAGTGAACTTTTTTAGCTGACTTGTAAATATTCTGTATCAAAGTGAATCTTTTTTTTTTAAAATGTAATGTTTGGATTCAATAAATGGATAACTTTAAACAGTTTGGACATTAATTTGAGACAAACAAAAAAATACTAATTCTGCTGATGTGGCAGAGTATAATGCAATAAATCATGAACCCAAATCTGTCAAGAGTTGACTTGCCCCAGCACAGTTTAACTGCAGTTAGACTGAAGATTCATTCAGAGTATGGTGGAAACGCACCACATGTATTGTGGTTTGCATACACTGACAAAACACAAGTGTGAATAGGCACTTAATGTGTTCTGCCAAAACTCTTTGGCAGTGGGAAAGTATTTAGAACACTGCCTGTCTAGTGCTTCATTTAAGGTGCTTAATTTAAGGTGTTTCAATGGGAGGTAGAGGAGGTTCCTGAAGTACTTGTTATAAAAATGTGACTCAGCAATTTTTGTCTTGTCACAGTAGCAGGAAGGCTAGTATCGGGTTTAATGGAGACTCTGCAGCGATCTTGATTTATGGCACTCAATTACAGTTTATGTCCCCAAGTTAGTGTTTTGGCAGCTGCAAGCTCTCTAAGGTATGGAGATACATATTTTACACATCAGCAATAACATTTTTGACCACCTGTCTTAAGTTGGTTCCCTTTTTGCTACCAAAACAGCTTTAAAGCAGGGACTTCAATAGACCTCTGAAGGTATGCTGTGGTATCTGCACCAGTCAGTAGGAGATCCTGAACTCCAAGTTGCACGGTGTGGCCTCCATGGACTCGGTTTTTCTGCACATCCCACTGATGCGTGTTTGGATTGAGATCTGGAGAAATTGGAGGCAAGTCAACACCTCAAACTCATTCTTTGAAAATGTAGGGAGTGCCACCCCCATAATCTGTTTAAACCACTTTCTATTCCAACTTTTACAGTAGTTCTGTTGGCTTGGATTACACAGGCCAGCCTCCGCTCATGTGCATCAATGAGCCTTGGCCACCCATGACCCTGTTGCAGGTTTCACCATTTATGCTTCCTTGGACCACTTTTGGTAGGTCTGACCTGCAGACCGGCAACATTCCACAAGAGCAGCAGTTTTGAAGTGGCTCTGACCCAGTCATTTAGCTATCGCAGTTTGGTCCTTGTCAAAGTTGCTCAAATCTTTTTGTATACAAAAAAATAGTGCTGGTGGGTTTTCACTCTTTCGCTGCCAAGCTTTTTTCCCCACACGTTAAAATGCACATTTTAGGCCTGAAATTTGCTTGGACTCTCAAATTATATTTTCTAAAAGCGTGTACCCTGGAGAAGAAAATGTTTGTAATTGAATTTTTCTGTCAAGATATTGACGCAACAGTTTATCAAATGCAAAGTTTCAGTAAAAAACGCATTCATATTTTAGTGCACAGAAATGCAATATGTTGAATCTGGGGGTAAAAGAGTACTCACCCCAGCTATGCAAATGATGCAGGTCAACATCCTAGCCGGCATTAAAATGTTCCTTTTGTTCCTCTGCTCCTGACACTTTCATCAGAGTTGGGGAGATGTCTGATGTTCAGAGATTTGGGAAGCCTTTGCATGCGTGTAGGAGGTAGTATCTAATGTTGCCAAATGCAGTTCACCGTGGTCCTCCACCTCAATTCTTTGCTCTGTCTCAGCAATATCGGGTGAACTGCTTCTCAGCCAGTCAGTTTGCTATTCCATGGGGGGGCGCAATTTCCTTGACCAAAAAGTTTTAAGGTTTGTATTCGCACCTGTTTATAGTTCCAAAAGCCAAAGGAGGCGTACCTCACATCTTGGATGTTTAACACCTTTTGGACGCCCTCAAATGTTTCAGGCGGAATCTACTTTTGGTCAGGGTCATCCCTCATTTTAGTTAACTACCTAGCTTGAATTCCAATGTCTCAATCAAGATGCAGATCTGGGAGAGCTTTGGATGGATCCTGAACATTGAGAAGTCATCTCTGATTCCATCATTGCTTGGAATACTTGGGTCTCTTCCTATATACCTTCCAGGTGAGGTTGACAAAACTGCAAAATCATATTCAGCCACTTCAATCCTGACATTAGTCTTCCCTGTGCAGTTGCGTACAAGTGCTGGGATTGATGGTGTCCACATTCGAGGTGGTTCTATTTACCCAATTCCACTTCAGAACTTTGCAACAGAACATTCTCACCTTGCAAGCCAAACCCAGTCATTCTCTAGACAAAATTATGCGATTTCCTTAAACCAGAATGTCTGTCTTGGTAGTTTTCTGTCCATGGAAGACAGATGTTTTTTCACCCTTAGATTGTCACGGTGGACGCCAGTCTTCTGTGTTGGGGCGGAGTTCTGAGACCTCTTATCTATTCAGGGTTGTAGGAGTCAGGAAGAACTGAAGCCTCCGATCAACAGCCTAGAGTTATGAGTAATTTGCCGTTACTTCCCTTGACCCCATTTGATTGGACATTCAGTGTGAGTTCAGTGTCGGACAATGCCACATCTGTGGCTTACATCAATCAGGGGGGCACAAGGAGTGTTGCTGTGGGGATAGATGTTCTGGGATAAGTAGAGCCTGTCCAGAGCGGAGTTTAATGTTTTAGCGATATCTACAATGCATATTCCCAGGGTTAACTGGTAGGCAGATGGTCTCAGCAGACATCAGGACCTGGAGGTGTTTCAGTATGCTCTAATCTATGTATTTCCTCTACTGAAGATTTTACTTCATCTCCTTTGATGCTGAGAGCATTCCAGTCATTTTAATAGCTCTGTAATGGCCACAGATAATGGGGTACACCGACCTTGTTCGTTTGCAAGCTGATGCTCCGTGGTCTCTACCAGATCGTCCAGATCTGCTAGCTCAAGGACCAATCTACCACCTTGCCTCCCATTTGCTGGCTTTGATGGTCTAGCTGTTGAAAGCCAGGTTCTGAAAAACAAGGTCAGTTCCTATTCAGAAATCCTGACCATGCTTAAATCTCATTTTACTTCCCACAAGATTTATCATGGATCGTGGACGACCTATTTTGACTGCTATAAGTCTCTGGGAGGTTCTTCTCGTGCTTTTCAGTTAGCCATTAGCACCATCAAAGGTCAGGTGTCTGCACTGTCCATACTTTTTCCACATCCCTTTCCTAATTGTTTACTGATTTGTACTTTTAGACAAGGGGTTACACACATTGCTCCCGTTAGACCTCCCTTATAAACTTGGGATTTAAATCTAGTATTCTTGGTGTGCCAAAGACCTGCCTTTTTGGGACATATCTATGACATGCTATGTTGTAAGGTAGCCTTTCTTGTGGGCATCACTTTGGCCAGGAGAGTTTCTGAGTTATCAGCATTGGTCGGTAGGGAGACCCATTTGATCTTGTTCAAAGACAAGGCTTTTGAAAACAAGAACCTCCTTTTACCCACAGTAGTTTCTGCTTTTTGCATCAATGAGGATATTATATTGCCTTCCCTGTGTCCGGCAGCAGTTCCTCTATATTGCTAGATGCGTTGAGTGCCACCACAGTTTACATTTCTGCCACTGCTTCTTTTAGGAAGACTAATTCCCTTTTTGTCATCCTAGAAGGTCCTAAAAGAGGTTCTTCGGCTTGCAGATCCACTATCCTAAGTGGATTTGACAGGTTATTCTGCAAACCTATGAGTTACGAGATAAAGTACCTCCTTTTCCCATTAAAGTCTATTCCACTAGTGTATATGGATACACTAGGGTGTTACAAATTAATTAGGCTGTGACCTGCTCTGCCACTTATACTTTATCTAAGTTTCACTACATCAATGTCTCTGCTTTCACATATCCTAGTTTTGGTTAAAAGTGTCTGCAAGTGGCTTTTTAATGCCTTTAGTTTCCCTTTGTTTTGTTTTTTTAGGGTTCACATGTATTGTTTAAGCATTCTCAACCCTCACAATAGACTGCTTTTGGATGTCCCTTAATTATCATCAAACTGTGTCCCTCGGATTTTTTTCTATCCTCAGTAGAAATAGTCATCTCATATAAGCTTAACACATTTTCATAATATTGTAATAACCATTATAACAATATTCTAAGCCAAGACAGGTAGAGAATCAAGAAAGAAATGACGTGTAACGAAGGCATTCATAGCAGAAGGGTGTTACTTAGAGCACCAAAGAGATGTGTGCCTACAAACACCAGTGATGAAAATCTGTCCCTGCCTATGGATGTCTTCCAACTTGTGTACACATGGCATGCTGGGTTTCTATCTATTGCCCTTCCCAGTATTTGGTATTGCTAGGTGTTAGGGAACCAAGAAATCAGACTGAAGCTTAAAATGCAGGCTTACAACATAAAAGAAGTTTATTAAAAACAGCAATAAACATTGATGGCAAAAAACAATGGAGAAAGCCCAGGACATAGTTAGTGCCAAGCCAGGAGTCAGATGCCAAAATGGGTAGTCAGCCAAGCCAGGTCAGAGAGCGGGATTAATGGAAACAAAGCTGGAGTCGGGAACCAAGAGATCAGTCAGCCAGAGCCAGTATCGTACATGGAAATCAGGAACAACAGCACCACACTTGGTTGATCAGAACAAATGCAAGGGTGGAGACTGAATAGACAAGATAAAGGTTAAATAGTGACCTGGTGCCTGCATCATCAGTCTGAGACAGAAATTGGTCAGGAGTATAGTCAGTAGTTGCAGGAAGATGATATAAACAGGTTTGGTCATAGGAGGGTGCTAAATAGGGACCCCAGTGTCAAACATACTGACAAGCCATGCACAGACGACTGGATGAGGAAGGGTAAGAAACCCTCACACTAGGATGTCCATATAGAGGAACTTTCTGCACATAGTCCACTACGCCGCTCTCCCTTACTTCCTCCCTATTGCAGCATCCCCCCTGATCTAAGCTCTGGTACCAGAGCTTAGACAGGGGGATGATGCCATGCCCCTCCACCAATGTGATAGTGTTTGGGCCTGGTAATTGGCCACTCAGGCCAAGGCACTGTCGCATGGGGAGGTCACATGCTCTCCCATATTCAAAAACCCTGTTCCCTTTATGAAGGCTCTGACAGTGTGGGGGCTGTGGCTGGGTATAAAGTATAACGCCTGGGTGGTAGGCTATGTGCAGCCATTGTCACTTTGCCTATATACTGTCATACTGCAAATAGGTGATATTAAAAGCCCTAAAAACAGTCATTATGCCCTGAATCTGCAAGATCAAAAAATCTCTATAAGAACTCCTAGTTTCCTGATCCGTGTGCTTGTTCAGGTTTAATAGCTATTGAATCAATTGAGTCATTATAACAGCCAGGTAAATAGCAATCTCAGATGGAGGTCAACAATGGCAACCACCTGCATTTCTCTCTTATCAGGTTTACTTTGAATTGCTGTACAGGATTGAGAACTGAGTAGTTGGTCTTCCATCTGGTGTTCTGTTATTAAAATGTGTTTCTATGGAAAGTCATTGGCAAGTAAGATCTTTCTGCAGCATCTGACTGTTTTTAAGGGTTGACAGAAGGCATTTAAATTGTTCTTTTAAATAGTCATCCATCCAACATGCTGCAAAACATCTAATAATAACGTTGCTCATTTCAATTGCTCTGGAAAAATGTATTTTCTGGGCTTCTATCAAAAGAATCAGGACTCTAAGGCTACATTCACACAGGGCTTAAAGCTGTGGCTGAGGATTCCTGAGCCAAGAAGCTACGGATTCTTGTGGAAGGAACTCCAAATGTGTCTGTACAGATGCAGAGGCTGACAGCGGCCGACAGCGGCCGCATCTAACAGTGGCTGTCCACATGCAATCGTACATGAAATGATTACCTGTGGTTCGGGATAGATGATTGTCCCTGGATGCAATCTCTCTGCGTTCCATGTACGATTACATATGGACAGCCACTGACAGATGTGGCCGTTGTGTCTTTTCAAGTGAATGACAGGCTGACAGCCGCCACATCTGTATGGACACATCTGGAATTCCTGTTACAAGAATCCCCTGCCACAGTCTTAAGCCCCATGTCAGGGAGGCCTAATTCCTTCTTCTTTTGTGAGGTGTCAGGATAGTCCACCCAGAAAAATACAACACAGCCCTGAAAGCCAAAGTCAATATGTTCCAAGATCTGATCTCTGTCATGTGAACCCACACCGCGTGAAAAAAATCTAAACAAATTAAAGCAGAACTCCAGGAAAATATGAAACCCCTCTTAATTTAAGTCACATATTCATAAAAAAAAATCAAAGTCCCCAAACCGGGGACATCTTGTGGCAGAAAAATGTACTACATGGGAAATCTTGGGATTGAAGGTGAATATTGCAGTAAAAGCTGGTTTTATTTAATCTTTTAATGGGCTAATGCTTTTTATCTTGTCATTTTTGGTGGGAGTTCTACAAAGCTATTGGATCAGCATGACAGCCAGACAACTTGCATTTTCAGATGGACAGGTCAGCAATGACACCTTCCATTTCTTCTCAGTACAGATTTGCTTTAATTTAAAGGCATATTCCACCTTTTGCAAAAAAATGGTATAAATGTACCATATTAATAAAATAAAAAATTTGCATTTATTGGCCTACAGAGCATCTGAACCGTTATCAATGGATGGTGGGTGCAATTCACAGGTTCCTCTGGACTCTTCTGCCAGGGCTGTAAGGGGGTACAGACCTTTGGTTATAGGAAGTATAAAAAGTGCTACAAGTACTTGTACTCCATTGAGATTTAGGAGTCCCTCTGCAGCGGAGTCACTCATACCGGGTTTCCCTGACACTGTCTTATATTTTTTTAGGCTCAAAAAACGCACTAGGTCTTATTTTCGGGGTAGGTCTTATTTTTTTTTTATGTACAACAATCCAAAGTTAACGCGAATCCAAATTGAATCATCCAAAATGGCAGTTAAGATAAGTTAAGTTAAGAATAGGGTGATCAGGGGTGCCATACCTTTCCAAGAGCAATTTGGTAACCGATCGCTGTCCAGAATGAGCGAAACGCACTTTCACTATCGATTCCTCACAGGCGGAGTGCATTTGGTATCACCCCGCCAGTGACAGGAGCCAGCACTATAGAGGAAGCATCGCTCTCTCCGCTGCCGCCTCGCTTCCTCTAGCGCTGGCTTCATTGGCACTGCTGGATTCTCTCCCGCGTCTCTTCAAGTTCCTCCTTATGCCACCACTGGCCCTGGGAATGGTCACAACTAGGTCTTATTTTCGGGGTAGGTCTTATATTTTAGCAATTTCCAAAAATAGTACTAGGTCTTATTTTCGGGGAAACAGGGTAGTGCCAAATTCAAAACAAAATAGGATCCTGCAGGGAAAAGCATCTCACGATTCAGGTAAGTTGGGGGGTGGAAGCGATTTGAAGGTGGGAGGGTGGGGAATGCAATAATATGTCACACTGTAAATATGGTCAGAAAGGTGTACTATGCTTCTAATGTACATTCAGGAAGAATGTTTACAATGCAAATTACAAAGATTTTAAAATCTAATGCATTTACTATAAGTGTTTTTATACATGTTGTTAACTATGTAGCTTTATACATAAAAATGTGAAGCTGGGCAGCTTTCACTGTTATTTTAAACATTTCCAAGAGCACATCTGCCTGCCTGTATAAAGAAATGTTAGCATTTATGCAGAAAAGAGCAGCACCAACTTGCCCTTACCCAACATGGCGTGTTAGCAGTCATCCTCACAAGCTGCCCTTATCGTGCGTAATGACGTCGTGGCGTGGCGCGGCTGCGGTGTTCTGTCATCCTGTGTTGTGGCCGCTGCTGTGTGGTGGCGGGAGATTCCAGCATGGCTGTTCAACCCAAAGAAAGGCTGTCTATAGACAGCGGGGCGGAGAGCGGCTTCCTGAGCTTCTATTTCTCCATGCCGGACAAGCCGGAGACCACCGTGCGGGTGTTTGACAGGAGCGATTACTACACGGTGCACGGCAGCGATGCCATCTTTGCCGCCAAGGAGGTCTTCAAGACCAATGGGGTCATCAAGTACCTGGGATCAGGTGCAGGCTTCGCTCTGACACCCTGTTCATGTCTGTCTTATATAACCCTTCATGATCATTGCTTTACCGCCTTCCCTAGCTGGAGAGACTACACATCCCAGCATGCTCTGGCAAGCAGAAGCTTGGAGGAAATGTCGGGACTTGTAGTTCTCTCACAGAGCTTCTGTCTTGCTGTGTTTTAGTACTTTGTAATCTGAGCTATTTTTTATCACTCCTGTAAAGGAAAAGCGCGTTGCCCATAGCAACTGGTCAAATGTTGTTGTTTTCCCTGTTTATAGTGGTTGTGACTAGTGCAATTATTTAGCTGATATAGTATTTTTTTCTAACATTAAGATTATTATTATATATATATCTATTATTTTCAGTGTAGGGTAAGGCTAGAATCCCCTTCAAACCTTTTATTGCGGATTATCCTTCACTTTCTATCTAGGAAACTGCCACTAAGTAATGGGGGGGCATTTCTAAGTCCCCCTTCACATATAGGAGTCTTGTCAATGTGCATTAAATGCACACAAAAGTGCACGTTTTGACGCGCATTTATGAAACGTGCACAAATGTGGAACGTGCTTGTGGTGGTATTACTAGTTAATGGCACCACAAACGTGGCCGAGCAAATACGGTACTCACGTTGCAGAATTTGCGACATGTACTACTTTTTCGCATTTGTCGTGTGTCCAGGGACCCAATGAAATCAATGTGGATGCATGGCAAGTGCAGTAAACAAATGCGATCAGGGACTTAAGCACTGGAGTGTTGCATGTTTTCCAACAGGCAACAATGTCAGTCAATGGTGGCCATTCACATCTGAGCATTGTCGCTTGTAGTCTGATGCCTATCGATGAGATTTTTTTTTTTGACTGAATCTTGTGTTTTTGGCCCCATAAGCCCCTGTGGGAGCACCTGAAAAATGTGCATCTTTTTGTTTGTTTCATTTAAAAAAGAACTCCAGGTAGAATAAAACCTAACCCTTGCAGTGGGGCTACCCCCTAGACCAAATTGAGCAGTTAACCCTCGCAGTGCAAGGGTTAAAATGTCACATGTCCGGAGTTGTTCTTTATCACCAGCTAGGAGGACCTCTTATTTGTAGCCCTTTAGTGGATTAGTCTGTACACTGTTCCCACTTTGCTTGGGGTGTCACTCTGTGTTCCATGGAAATGTAAAGTGTTTATTGCTCCATTATACAGCCGTTCATCCACTTATCTGTCTTGTGCCCATAGTTTCTTTATTAGACTGCACACTGCAAGAGGAAATGCTAATATCTCCAAGCCGTAGACTAAATAAATACAGACTCTTTGCATATTCGAATGGAATGATTTGTATAATGGCCCATGTACTGCGAGGCATGGAATTTACTTGCAGGGAGACGTGTGAATACAGTACAATAGAAGTCTGTGTTGTCCATATAATAGGATTCCACCTGTAATTTATCTGATGCCTCTTGGAAAATGAATGCAATGAGTGGTGGGTTTGGGCAATACCTGTCCCGTTCCTGAAGTTTGATTTTTGAACCTTTAATTTTTTAAAGTGGAATTGTAAAGTTCAGGATTGATTTTAATGTCTTTTATTGTTGACATCTGCAAATCCCTGATGTTGGGATAATTCCCTTTTACCTTCTCTAGTAATTTATCGGGCGAGTTTACTTTTTCTTTTCAGGGGCCAGGAAGCTAGAGAGCGTGGTGCTCAGTAAAATGAACTTTGAGTCTGTCGTGAGGGATCTACTTCTTGTTCGTCAGTATCGGGTGGAAGTTTACAAAAATAAGTCCTCAAGCAAATCCTCCAATGACTGGCACTTGGCATTTAAGGTAAAACATATTTTTTTTTTCTGGGGTTAGTTAAAAGATATATTTTGATTCAAATATGAGGACAAGCGACTTTGTGTAGGATAGACATAGACTTTTTTTTCCAGTTTTTACTGCTCTCTGTGGTCCCGTCTGCGATTTGTCCTAACTTCCTGTCCCTGTTAGAAGTGTCACTTGGACAGGAAGTGAGGGGAAATCTCTTTAAGAGGCACACAGACGGCAAGGAGAACCCTGTTTTTTTTCAGTAGGGTAAGGCTAGAACCTGACAGCTTTATATTGCTTTGTCCCCATTTAAGATATTTACTTATTTCCTGTCTGAGTGACCACATTGTCACCGTGACAAGGAGGGATCTGTGAATGAAGAGATCACAAGTCACATCTGCCACCATGGCAGAGGGACATGTAGATCTCAATGTAGCACAAATGTGGTGCACGTATGGTCTGAATAATTGCTCCAGCCTCATAACAGAAGCTCTATACCTCTGTACATTGCTCATGATCGCAATGTTCTGCAGATTCCAGTGCAAATATATAATATGTAAAATGTTCCTCCAGATCTGTGCAGTAAACCTGTATGAAAGTGTGCCTCTCTGTAGGACAGGGGTAGGCAACCTTGGCTCTCCAGCTGTGCTGAAACTACAAATCCCATCATGCTTCTGCCTCTGGGAGTCATGCCTGTGGCTTGCAATGCCTTATGGGATTTGTAGTTTCAGCACAGCTGGAGAGCCAAGGTTGCCTACCCCTGGTGTAGGAGCTTCCGGTCACTGCTGTTCTCCCTCCTTGTGCAGTTTGACTGGTGTTGTCTCCACCCCCACTTGTAGATTTCTGCAGGCAGTAGAAATCATCTAATGCTGAATGTCAATGTGTTTTGTGTTATATAAATTGTGTACATAATGATTTTCTTTCTAGGCCTCTCCAGGGAACCTGACTCAGTTTGAGGAGATCCTGTTTGGCAATAATGACATGTCCTCTGCGGTTGGCGTTGTTGGTGTCCGTTTGGTCAGCTCTGAAGGTCAGAGAGTGGTCGGTGTGGGTTATGTGGATTCCACTCTGAGGCGGCTGGGAGTATGTGAATTCCCAGACAATGACCAGTTCTCGAATCTCGAAGCCTTGCTGGTTCAGATCGGACCTAAAGAATGTGTGATGCCTGGAGGAGATAGTGCTGGAGATATGGCTAAATTGAGACAGGTAAATGTAATCAAGAACTTTGCCAGACCTGGGAAATGTACTATTTTGTGGGTGTGCAACAGTTTGCGGGGACTTGGTCAAGCTAAGAGTAAAGCTGGCCATACACTGCTCTATTTATTTTTGCTTAACCCGAAGGAATGAAACCTGCAGAATTAAACATAGAGCAGATTCCTTTATCAACGTGTTGATGGAGGAATCCCCGCTATTTCTTTTGTATTCTGATAGCAGCTGCCGGCCGCTGTCAGAGTAGCTGAACAGCGTTGCCATTGGCTTCTGGCTCTGTACATACAAAGGTTTTCTGACTGGCTCCTTTGATCAGCTGATTGAGAGATGCTGGCCGAAAAAATGCCGACTGTTTCACCCACTGCAAAATTCACACTGTATGGGTCACCTTAAGTTATTAGCTTTGTGTTGAGGTTTACTCCTTAAAGAGAACTGGTCATGACAGAGATATGGGAGTACATGTAAATCTTTGTTGCTCATCTGAAACAAGCATGTAGCCAATGAACTGTTGGAACACTTAATATGCCTATTCTTTTACTGGGTCAGTGACTTACCAGTTATCATCCAAGATTGCCCCTGCACTGCCGCTCTCCATCCTGATCTGTCGCAGGAGGCTGGGCGGGGCGCTGTGGGAGGAGAGCTCAGCCTCCTATGACAGCTGTCACCCCCCCCCCCCTGCACCACAGCTCTCCATGCTGATCAGTCACAGGAGGCTGAGCTCTTCTCCCACAGCGCCCCGCCCAGCCACCTGCGACATATCAGGATGGAGAGCGCCAGTGCAGGGGGGGGGGGGTGACAGCTGTCATTGCCGTCACAGGAGGCTGAGCGGTGTGGGAGGATAGACGCTGGCCACTCGCGACGCTCTCCTCCCGCACCGCTCAGCCTCCATGTAACTGTTTTCTCTCCTCCATGCTGAGACACAGAGCCCCGCCGGGAGGAGAGAAACCAGGCATGCACCGCTATTTCGGCCAAAAGATGGCATTTTGCCAAAAGTGGCATTTTCGGCTGATATGTTTCGGTGGCCGAAATTTCGGTGCATCCCTAGTCTTATCTGCCAAAAATATGAAAAATAAGTCACTGGTGTGTTCTCAACATCAGTGAAGGTTATAGCTGAATTATCATGTATTAGAGTTTTTTTTTTTTTTTTTACTATATACACCTTCAGGCATGTCTATAGCAAATTCACTAGCAATTCTTCCTCGAAGGGCCAGTGTCAATGACCTTTTTGTTGCTTTAGAACTAGGGATGCACAGAAATTTTGGCCTCCAAAACATAGCGGCCGAAAATGGCACTTTTGGCATAATGCCGAAATAATTGACAAATAACTGCTTGTAAATAATTGAGGACATAGTATGTTTTTTGTGTCCCCAATTATGAATGAATGGGAAGTGATCTACATCACCTGCTCTTCATTCATGATTGTGGACATGGTAAACATTCTGTCTCCACATGTTATGAATGAACAGGAACACTCAGTATAGATGATTCCTGTTCATTCATAACCGGGGCTGCAGAAAAAGAGATTGAGGACTCTCCTCAATCTCTTTTTCTATTTTGAAAGGGAAGTATCAGGGGTATGTTTAGATCCCTAATATTTTCCTGAAACCCCCAACACTAAAGTAATAAAATATTTGAAAAGGTTAGAAATATTTTTTTTTTTTCCGGCCTGACTTTTTAAAAAATGTTTAGTTTTTGCTTTTTACATTTTTTTTTTTTGTCAATTTGATGCACCTCTATTTAGAACTCATTCTCTCCCTATACAAGTGGTGGTGGTCATGGTAAGAAAAAAGCATCTTGAAGCAGGTCAGATGCACCTGCAATGAATTCTGTTCCCAGAAGTATCTCAATCTTATGTCACGCATCAGCGAAGCCCCTCCACATGGAACATTACTGTTTGTTTTTGGCCAGTTTTCATACACAAGGCTCAGCATGTTCTTCACTTTATGAATGCGGTGATATTTACATGATAGCCATTGTGTTCACTTATACAGATTGTCCTGCGAGGTGGGATTCTGATCACTGACAGGAAGAAGGCAGAGTTCAATACAAAGGACAGCATTCAGGATCTTAACCGTTTGCTGAAAGCCAAGAAAGGAGAACAGGTCAATAGTGCCGCATTACCAGAGATGGAGAAGCAGGTATGACAGGCTCCTAATATGTCATATCTTTATGGTTTCAGAACACTGAGTGTATCACTTTAAAAAGTCTGTTACAATTAAAGCTGGCCATACACCAGTAGAATTTTGTTTGACAAAAAAAATGATTTAAGACTTTTAGTTTGGTTTTGGGGTCCAATTGACGATTGTTTTCAACCCATATTAACAAAGAAATCAAAGAGCAGGATGGAAAAATATTATTGAATAAATGCAATTCTAACTGCCAATGTGCTGTTTGATTGGGAAACTCCATTTATTCCAAAATTGAATGTTATAAATCAAACAACATTCTACAAGTCTCTGGCATTATCGAATGTTCCGATGAGATTTTTCACATGAACCTTCCTACAAAAAGCTACCAGTGTATGGGCAGCTTTAGATTCCCATTGCTGTTTCTCTTTGGGTGGTAGCGGTGCTGTTTATTAAGGCGGGATGAATGTTAAAGAAGGATCACTGGTTAGGTGATTCTGCCTGAACTTCACCATCTGTCAGTGCCCATGTGACCCACTGCTATGGCTTTGATAAAAATCACAAAACAGTTGTCAGTCTAAACTTCTATTATCTATTTCGGAGAGCTGGTGGAATCGGTAAGTGTTAGATTAGACTGACAACTGTCCCAGCAAACCTGTAATGCAGGCATACAATAGGGCGCAGTTTCGTGTGCAGGAATCTTAAAGTGTATTTCCATTTTGGGATAAGACCTATTTTATACTTGTTACATGTTCCCATTCACATAGCATAAGATAAAACAAATTACATGTTTTTTTTTTCTTTCAGTTTAAATAGATTTTACTTGTCTTAGTTTTGTAACTGGGCTGTGAGGGGATAATGGCGTGTCCATTGTATGTTAATGAGAGAAACAAATCCTCAAAGTTCAGTCCTAAGTCTTTCTATAAGGACAGATAACTGTGAAGGTGCTCTGCATAAGCATAGGTGCTCTTATATGCTCTGGCCTAGAGATAGGTCACTCAACCACTCACTGTTGCATTTGGGGAGTCCTGGGAGCATGAAACTGAAATACCCCCCCCCAAAAAATGCTACCCTCTGCCTCACCCTGCTTTTCATACCTTTCTGGGGGAACCATCGTATACAGTCTGGTAGTATTGCAGTCTGGTAGTTACAGAGTATATAGTATAATTCTCCCAATGGAACCAGGGAGCGTGGGGGGTTGGGGACACAGCGGTTACCCTAAAGATATAAATAGTGGGGAGTGGAGTCAGAGGGGATCAAATTGTGGGGGTTAGTACCCTTTTATTATTTATATTTGTATATTTTTTTTACTTTGCTGTAGACCAGTGCTGTTCCAAAGCAAGCTTCTGCTTTTAGCAGCTTAGTTTGGGCAGTTCATTAAGGACCCAATTACACTTGCACATTTCCGCCACCCATGGCAATGCATCTGCTCTGTGTGGTGCATTGCAGGGCCAGTCATTGTGAATGGCACCCCGAATCATTTTATAGTAGAGCCCAATGCACTGCTGCACATTGTGGTACAGTGCTTTGCCATTAAATACCACGCTCTTTCACTTCTCTAATATTTATTTTCTTTTTCTTCTCCTTCCACATGCATCATTGTCAACACTGATCTGTGACTTTAGGTTGCAATGTCTTCTCTCTCAGCTGTTTTAAAGTATCTGGAGCTGTTATCAGATGAGTCCAACTTTGGCCAGTTTGTGATGACCAGCTTTGACCTGAGTCAGTACATGAAGCTGGATAACGCAGCAGTTGGTGCTTTAAATCTTTTCCCGGTGAGTGTTTATTAAGTGATTGGTGTATATAAGGATTACATTGTTGCATTTTTCTTCCCACCGTGCTGCCTTTTTGAATTGTGTAATTTGCTATATACCTATAAGCATTGTACTTGTATTTTGCAATACAACAGCAATTTACACTGTTTAGCTTAGGGATTTGCAATTCCGGCGCCCCAGCTGTGCTATCTACAAATGCCAACATGCCCCTGTCTCTGGGAATCATGCCTGTAGTGTTCAATGCCTCGTGGGACTTGTAGTTCCACAACAGCTGGAAGACCTGGGCTAGCTGATGCCCATTGTTCATGTTTAATTTCGGTATTGGGTATGAATTATCTAAGAAGGTAACCATGGTAAGCCCTCATTTGTTCACAGCTCACACTTGTTGAATACAAGAGATTTGTACTTTTGTAAAAATTGTGTTTTAAAACTATTTATAGTTACATAGTAGATTCCGGATGTCTGTTGGTACCTGGTATTTCAATTCCGAGTAGGAGTTGATCTGCCTTGACCACTGTGCTAGTGAGATCTCCACCTAAACTTATAGGTCTGCTAAGGTCATTGTAAAGTAGGTTGTGTGAGTTATAATTAGGTTAGAGAGAATGCAGTAGAACAGGGAAGTCTCCTCCTTCAATAGGCTGCAGGGTTGACTGATGGAAAATGCTAGTTAATTATTCTGCTAGAACAAAAAGGAAAAAAACAACAGTAGTACCAGTCATTCCCCAGCAATCAGAAGAATCCAGTAATCGAGAAAAGAAAAAGACTTGCCTACAGTTTAAAGCTGAATTATAACATGATTATGATCAACATGCAATTGAAAATGTTCCAATAATTTTATTTTTAAGAAGTGTGTGTGTGTGTGTGTGTGTGTGTGTGTGTGTCCACAAAAACTTCCCTTTGAATTAGAAATCTCTTCATTTTTGTGGTTGGTTGTACATTTGGTCCTTTTCTGCACACTCAGTATTGAGGGTTCCAGCTATTTTTGACGCCATTTAACATTGTTGTCCTTTTTGTATGTAGAGCAGCCGTACAATATAAGAATGCTTTGAAATGAGTTGTGTTTATGTGTAGACACAGTGCCTGACTCAAGTCACAGCAAGTCTGTTTATTCACAAGGGGATTCAGCCGTGCCCTTTTATTCTGGAATGTCTGCAGCTCCTTTTCCTATTCTGCAGAGTACTGTAAATGGTTACTATTGTCCCTTAACACAAGCTCCAATCTGTTTCTATAAAAATGATTCCAAATTTTAACAAGATTTTTTATTTTAAATTTGCATTTTGTTGGTTTCTGCTTTAGTAAACAAGCTTCTGGTTAAATCCATCCAACATAGAACAAAAGTCTTTCTGGGATTAATTAGAAGCATTTGGCTGTACTTGGTTATTCCTCGGCTGAATTAATGATCTTACTGCGAGAAAGCAAAAGGTGCCAAGAGAAGAAGGAAAAATATCTAAAGCAATGAGAACCATAACCAGGCCTAATGTCTGAAGGTGACTGTTGTCCAGGTTATCCCTGATTAATGGCACAGTGGTCCTGCAAATAGCGCAAGTGGTAAAGCTAAGGCCTGGTTCACACCTGCGCGTCATGGGGTCGCGTGTCCCGCTCGCCTTCGTGCGTGTTTGCGCACCTTTTGTTTGGCATGTGTATATGAACCCATTGAAAACAAAGGGAACTATTGAAACAGTGCCACTGTGGTTCAATGAAAAATTAAGAAAACAATGAGGACGTGTGGCAAAAAACCTAATGTATTTTGTGAGTCATGCCTTCGCCGTTTTTTGCTTTAGCGTTTGTGTGCGTTTTCACTCGTGCAAACGTGGAGCAAAAATGCGCATCTTGCTGGGCGCATTTGGGGTACCCTTAATAATAAATGGCACCGCTAGCACCTTGCAGGTTTGTGCGCGTTTTCGTGCGTGCTTCATTCTGAGCGTGATGAAGGGGGCCCCTTGAGGCCCCGAAAGCGCTTGCATTAAATGGCAATGTGCCATTAAATGGATTATTGATTTATTGCTATGGTGTGCTGGTGACATTATTTTCTTCTTCTGTGGTATACACGGTGCCGTCCGTGGTCACTACAAGCACCCACCCATATGGGTTCCCTCTGGTAAGGAGTGCAGCAAGACCTCTGGTTCTTAATATTCTTTTCACAAACGAGTGCTGACCGTGCACGTATATTCACGGAACACGCAGCTGTGAACCGGGCCTTAGTCTTCTCTAAATAGCATCTCTCTCTGCCCATTGGCTCTGAGCATTTGTTAGGGTATGTCCGGGGTGGGGAAGGGCAGGCAGAAATCGGGCTTTAATGTATGTAATACAGGTTAACCTCACCCAGAGTGTCTCTGTCCAAAGTGTTGCATATGTGTCCAAGACAGATTTCAATTGGATCCTCGGTTTCAAGTAATGCCGCACCTGAGATATATGTATACTGCGACAGACAAGTACTTAGTCTTGCTTTGCATCACTTTTCTTATTACCAAACTGTCAGAGTTTGTTTATTAAATGTCGCAAGCACAGCGCCAGAATGAAATATAGCGCGAATCAGAACTACTTAAATTTGGCGTAGGAGTCGGTAGAGGTCCAGGAAATGGTGCAGCATGTTTAGAATTCGGTGCAGACATTTGTACCGCTGCATTAGCGCCAGAATTCTGAATCAGAAGCTTGTTTACTAAAGCAGAAAACAACAAAATGGGAATTACAACGAAAAAAAGTCTTGTTAATAAAATATGGAATCGTTTTCATAAACAGATTACACCAAAATATATGGACTTTGTGTTAAGGGACCATCTACAGTATTTGATTGGTTAATCAGTGGATCAGGCATGCTCCTTATAGATTGTACTTTGTAAAATAGGAAGAGGATGTGCAGACATGGAAGAAAAGGGCCGCGTTCTCAGTTGCTATGGTTTGCTGGAGGCTTCCAAGTTTACGTCCCGCATAAGTCTCATCTCCATACACATGCATAGGAGACTTTGACTAAAGTGCTAAACTGCGGAATCTACTCTTGATTCCATTATCATTGACACTATTGGTAGTGGAAGACCTCTCAGGAACAAACTGCAAAGTCTTCTCCATCAAGAAATGTTCTTTCGTTTTTCCACTTTGTCGACCTCCTAATCCACCTACAAGGTCTACTGATCAATGTCTGCCCTATCCTCATACCAGCCTTCTTCCACATGAAGGTGCTCCCCTCATATTTCGTATATTGGTATCCCTAAAATCAGTCATTCTCAACATGCTAAAAGCTAGAAAATCTCCTTCACGCAAGGTCCATCACTGTAAGTGGAAGGCATACTTTATTTGGTTTTGCCTTTCACTTTTGAAGATTTTCTGTAGGACAAATCCTGCAGGTGGGTCTGGACCAGCATTTTGGCTTTCAGCACTATTAAGGGCCAGATCTCTGCTCTTGCTTCCTCTGTTTGGAGACCATTGGCTACCCATTCCTTGATTAAGACTTTTTGATCACTGCATCTCTGCCAGGTGGATGTTCAGGCCTCATGTGATGCCAGGTTCAGGTCCTTCAGGCAGCTGTTTGTGCTTCAACCTTCCCTAGTTTTCTGTTGTTTTTTGTGAGCTTGCTAGCATTTGTTTGCTGTCACCCACCCCTCAGCTGGACTGCTTTTTAACTAGAGCTGCAGCTAACGATTATTTTCAACATCGATTAGTTAGCCGATTATTAAGTTCGATTAATCGGATAAAAAATAAAATACATTTTTAAAAATGGCTCCAGTGATGGAACTGCTAGTTTGCATTGAGATTGTAGTTCAGCACAGGAGCAAGCTTGGAGCGGTTTCCGATTAAACGATGATTGAAAAAGTTGACAACTTTTTCAATCGATTATCTCGATTAGTTGTTGCAGCCCTATTTTTAACATCACAAATTTCCAAGTCTTCCAGTGTTTCTTGAAGATTGAGAGAGAAGTGTTTTTTTTTTTTTTGCCAGTGCCCACTCCTCCTGTAGGTTAAAGTCTTTTTTGTGTCCCTCAATGGACTCTAAGAATAGGTTTTCAGGGTGAGTACAACAATCCTATTATAATAGTCATTTAATGGTTAACCACAGTTCAACATAAACTGCACCATATGGGCAGGGCAGAGGTGTAAAATGACTCCTCTTGCTGCAGGCCTATTGGAGTCATTTCTGTTTTTGTATATGTTTTTTTTTCAAAAGGTATTCAATTTATCAAAATACTAGATGAGGGGTTCAAGGTCTAGGTTAGTGATAGATCTCTCTCAAAACAGAATATTGGTAGGACATTGCCAGAATATTGGTAGGACATTGCCATACCTCTTTATATGGTATTCCAAAAGTACAGGTCTTAGGTGGTGGAATGAGTACAGCGGCATTGACATTTCGTTCCAAAAGGCAAACATTTTGTCATTTCATTATTGAAATACTAACGCAGATGCTTAGGGGTGAGATACTTTAGTTTCTGAAATATATTTGTGTCATTTTATTTTTCACATTTTCTGGTTGTTTTTTCTTTTCTTGCAGGGGGCTGCTGAAGACACAAGTGGCACTCAATCTCTAGCTGGTCTTTTAAACAAATGCAAAACTCCCCAAGGCCAAAGATTGGTCAATCAGTGGATCAAGCAGCCTCTTATGGACAAGAACCGAATTGAAGAGAGGTAAGGGTAATCTTAATCTAAAAGGGAAATCTCGGCTCAAAATAAAGTGGGTGTTCCCAACCTTGTGTCTGTTGACCTAATAAAAAAACAACAACTTTTGTTTCAAACCGTATTTGCAAACACTGAAGCCCTTTAATAAATTGCAGTAAGGCCTGGTTCACACCTAGGCGTATTGCATATGCGCGGTTGTCGCACGTTTTTTTTACCGCTATTCGCGGTAAAAAAAAAATTGCGCGACAAACGCGCATTTCCGAGGGCTACTTGGCTGTATCCCAATGGGAACGCGCAACAAAAACGGCCCAAAGTAGTACATGTACCTTTTCAGGCATGGGCCGTTTTGTAGCGCGTTAGGGACGGGCTGAAATATGCCAAGGTGTGAACCAGACCCATTGAATACAATGGGATTTAGATGTTTGAGTGTTTTGTAGAGCGTTCGTTGAGCGTAGAACGCGCTACAAAGCGTTCAGGTGTGAACGAGGGCTAAGACTTGTCCCTGGTATAATGTATATCACCACAATATGGTTGGTTGACGTACATAGCCAATAGGATGTGGTTTGGGCCTTCTGCAGCAGAAATGAAGTACGGGTGGCGTGAGCTTACTCTGGCAGGGTCAAGTAGATTTCTACACGTTTGTTCTTAAGTGTAAATTCCGTGAGGCTTTTTCAAGCTTGTTAGTGGAAGAAGGAGGTCAAAGTCTGCCATGATGTTGACTTGAGGCATTGTAAATGTCAATCAGCGTAAAGCACGTCAGGGGCTTTTGTTTAAGGTGTACTTAGTTTTATTACACTTGGCTTGTTCTTTAGCCTGTATAGTGTCACACCCAGTTACAAACAGCGGTGTTATAAAGCTTTAGGTGTGCAGTAATTAAACATCTTTGAAAAGTAGATTGTAATGTTGCTTGGCTATTCGTTCAAGCTGTTTAAAGCAGACTTTTACCCGTATCTGTAAAATAACAGCAAAGACACCTTTAGAAATGTTTAGTAATGACAATCTACAAACACATACTTCTAGATAATTGCCGGCTTTGTATTCTTTGCATATCTTATTTCTCTCTTCTTCCCCAGTCTTCTGACAGTGGCCATGTTTACTGAGGGCATTTTATTAGATTTCCTATTACTTCCTTTATTTCTGGCACATGTGACTTGGACATGTGACCTATGCACATCATCTCAGGGGAGGAAAATGCCTTTCCCTGAGATCTCGTGAGATTGCGAATGATATTTCCCAGCAATGCTCTTCTGATGACTAAGTAATCCAAGTGTTCATTGGTTTGCCAAAATTAAGTTATTTTGCCCTTTTGAAAGCAAGAAGTGAATGCTCTGCAAGTGTAAGTAGTTCAAAATCAGCATTTTTCACCCGACATGTCTATGTTGTTTTTAATCATCATACATAGAGGGATGCATTGGTAGAATTTGATTTTGGAGCGTAAAGGTCCGCTTTTAAGGCCTGTGTCCACAGGCTTTGAATTTGTGTCGACGGCATCAATTTGACATCAGTATGAGATGATTCTGAGTTCATTCAGAATTCATTGACGGGTGCATTTGACCTGCAGTGCATCTTCTGACCTGCATTTGACTGGTTAGAGTGGGTTTTGCATGTCCATAGACTTTTGTATAGGAATGCAATCGTCCCATGTATAGTCCCAGGTCCTTAATCTGTGGGATTATAGCACTATTTGGGATAATAACCAGTAATAAGGCAGCTGTCGGTGCTGTTTCCACTTTAACATTGCAAATGTATGCTGAGTCTAATATGGAAGATGTATATCTTTCTTTCTGTTTTTTTTTTTTTTTCTGACAATTCTGGTGATTTTTTTCCCCCAGCAGGCACATTCTAAAAAAAATAAAAAAAACCTTTACTTGTAGGAAGTATGGAAGCTGCCATTTGCTAAATTGCTATTATCTTGCCTGACATGCTGATCCAAAGGCTCTAATATTTTTGAGTCGGGGAGCAAGTATGTCGCTCTAGAGTTATGATTTCACTCACTGATTTAGGTGCAGCTCAAAGACCTAAGCATGGAAGCCTCAGACACCCAGGCAGATAGCATTTTCTAACGGTCAACAGCAATTGCATTCTTTGTATTTCTCTTAGAACCGTCTCTGAAGACTTACAAGGTTACTCACAGAAGGGTGAAGAGTTTGGAGAAGGCAGGAGAAGTGAACAATCTAGGACAACATAGCTGAACTGGAAAATTAGCTGAATTGGAGAGTTTTTTCAGTTCAGCTATGTTGTCCTAGATTATTTACTTCTCCTGTCTTCTCCAAACTCCTCACCCTTTAGTGAATAGCCCCCTGTTAGCGAGGGGGCTGAGGACCAGGAGCTTCTTTAGTTGTATAGATCTCTGGGTCCTGTTTCTGCAGTTTTTTCCCCACAGAATGGATTAGCAGTGTGAGATTGAACTCTGTCTCTGTCCCTGCGTCTAAAAGTGATTTTAAAGTCAGAAGGCTTTTCAGATGGGAAATAATGGATGCTGCTTTTTGATGATTAAAGTTTTAGACTCCTGCAAAATCAGCTGGACCCGTGAGCACTGGACCTGATATCCTGTTTTAGGGTGGCTTTTTCCCTTGCAGGTTCCTATGGAGCCACCCTTGTGTGTGGCAGTAAGCTGTGTGTGTCTCTATAAACACACAGGCAAAAACAAACCATTCCTTGCTCCACGCTTTTCACTTCTCCCTCCTTCCCTTCTGCAAACTAGTAGACAAAGAGTTGCCAGAGACTGCTCTGTACCTTGTGATCTTGTATTCCTAAGGAAGTTCAGGGAAGCGGAGCTAAGAGAGGTGGCTCTGAAACATAATGACTGTAAGTGCTTGGGGAAAATTGTAAAGACATACTTTGCTGGGAAATGTATATTTTTTTTTAATCTGGATTTATTACCTAATAAGTTTGAGAGTTTAATACTACTTTAAGGAACGGATTCCACCACTTCATGTCAGGCTGACTCTACTAGATCTGCGAACTTCTTGGGCTTTTCAGCGTCCACTGTTTCCCAGATTTGCAAGGCTGCCACCTGATCTTTTATTCGCAGGTTCTCTGTGTTCTATAAGGTGGATGTCTCGGCATTATCTGATCTCGGCTTTGGGTAGGTCTTTTAGACCTCTCTTTGAGCCGTGTAGGTGAAACAGCTGATTACGACTGGTTCCCTTTGTCCTGATTACAGCACTTATGTTAGATGAAAGCACTATAGCTGGGTTGGCCTTCTAATTCTCTGTGAGTAGGGAAGAGAAAATGGCAATGGTGACTCATTAATTAAGCAATTCTGTACTCAAGTATTTAACAAAATCAGCCTTTGATACCTATGAGATTTTCCTTGATCTGCAGAGACCAGATTCTCACATTTCTTTTCGATTACCCACAAACTGAATAATCTAGGGTGCAAATACGGCCTTCGCTATACATGAATGTGTATTTGCAAGTCTGAATTTGTTTTACGTGACACTGTCAGTTTACCCATCTAGGGCCTTGGTTCTCAACTGGTGGGTCGCGGCCCCGTTTTCAGCGGGTCGCCGAGTGCTTTCCACTTTTCTAGGTGAGAGGCTTCTCAGCCTCCCCCTAGCGCAGCACTGTCAGTTCTCGCACCGAGCAGCCATTCATAATAAGCTGCCCGGTGCTGAGTGTCAGCTCGGGGTGGGGCTATGGTAGCGAGGGAGCTCCTTCCATACATATGATGCTTACAGCTCTCTTGCATGTCCTGTAGACGTACCTGGACTGGAATGACATCACATTCTGGCTCCCGCACCTTTACAGGGCATGCAAGGGAGCTGTAAGCATTATATGTATGGATGGAGCTCTGTCGCAGCACAGCAGCCCACACTGGACCCCAGGCTGAGGGTCCACTCCAGTTCTCGTAAGGTAGGGAGGCTGGGTGGATCTTAAACATTTTTTTGTAGTGTGTATGTGTGGTTGAGAATGTCTGTGAGTGTGTGAGAATTGTGTCTGTGGTTATGTATGTTTGTCAGTGTTTGTCAATGCGTTAATCGAACAGTCCCATGTGATTATCGCACTGTACCATGCAATCGCACCTACTACCGTATGTGTTCTGGTGTGGGAGGTGCTTTGCGTTGCCATTTATTTGAATGGCACCCCAAACGCACCTCCCGCCTACAGTTCAGTTGCCCGCACCGGAATGTGCAGTACCGCAATGCCGTGCGTCCCATTGCGGTGCGACTTGGGTCGCGACTTAAAGACCAAGGACAAATGTTGGTCCTGAGGTTACACAGCTTGAGAACCACTGATCTAGAGCAATGTAACTATCTGCTACTAGCCCTCTAGTCATTCACACTCCCTCGCTGCCTCTGCTGCAGGAGTCCCCCCCCTGGGTAAAACCCTTGTATTGGACAGTGTCCGAGCTTACCCAGGTGAATGACATCAACCTGTCCCCCAGTAACCAGAGACACTATTGTGTCATTTGGATAGGCAAAGTGGCTGTGTCATTTAAAGGCTCCTGTATGACAGTCTACACAAATCCTACATGCAGTTTCTATGTGATGCATACACTTAAAGTAAACAAGAACGCTCCCTGACTGAGACAAATACTACTTTGTGATTCACAGGCTTCCTCTCCCAGACAATGCAGTGGGAGGGTTATAGTAACAGAAGCAGTGTTGTCTTTCCAAAGGCAGTGGGCAGGACTAGGTATGGGCAGGTGTTGACCGACAGGCCTGAGAGCAGCAGTGAGCAGGATCATGCTGATAACCATGCCTTCTGTAACATTTTCTCACCCCACTGCAGTGCAAGATGGCACAGCCTACATAAGAGTGGCAACTCTGATCTTAATTCTTGAGCAGTGCACCATTGTTGCCACGCCATCACAGGAAGCTGCATTAGGTGGACTTCGCTGGCGGGCTTACCAATTAACAGGCATTTGGAGGAGACTAACGGGAGGCCATAGATCTACTTTAAGCAACCATTTACCTTTCCAGTGTTTACTGAAAATGCTGCCAAATATTCAAATATACAGATTGTAAACCTCTCATCAGTGTTTTATCAGTGAACAAAATCTC